AAGCAGAAGGCAGGTGCGAGCGGGAGCCAGGGGGGCGAAATGCTCAGACTCGGCAGAGGCGGCAGCCAGAACCGCGGGGGTGAGAGGGCGCGGTGGCTGCGGAGGGGGAGCCGCTGCTGAAAGGAGGCCTGTGTTGTCGTGTGGGTGACTGTCGGTGGAAGCTTTGGAGGAGAGTGGTTTGGAAGAATGGCGATGGACTTGACGGGCAGAGGAAGGTGGTGACCCTGAGCGTCCTGCCAGGGGACAGGAGGCTGTGCTGTCCCTCCTCTTCCCTTACCTGGCAGGGGACAGAACGTGGTCCGGAAGGGGCTTCTCCCTGGACGAGGCTAGTCCACCGCACTTCGGCTGCACTGGCCCCTGCAATTTCCCCACACCGGCCCTCGTAGGCCGTGGTGTTTGTGCCACCCCGCGGCTGGGTTCCTGCACTCTCCTGCCTTGCCTTGGCTCACCGCTGACGGGGATATCGCCCCGGAGACCCTTCGCCGCCCTCCTAGGGATCTTGAGGGCGCTTCCTTGGTGTTGTCACTGAAGCTCAGGAACAGGCAGATATGAGCTCTGTCTTCTACACGCTGAACTTGGAGACCCAGAGCTTGGGTCTCCTCCGGGCCTGCACATGACTCGCGACTCCCCGCCTCCCGCCTCCAAGCGCAGCTTTTGGCTCAGGGATGGGCAGCGCCCACCCAGCGTGGAACCCCGGCAGCCGCAGCCCCTGCAAGCTGGCGGGCAGACACTAGCAGGAGAAAGAACACAAGGCGTGCGTGGTGGTAAGCACCGGAGATGTCACTTTCCCACCAGGCGAGAAGGTCTTTGGAGACAGGACAGAAGGACGCAACCCTTCCAGGAACAAGGCGACTGCTCCTGAGGCCTGGCTTCGCACGGAGGCTCCTGGGTCCCTGCGCCCTCTGTCTACCCGCTGCAGCCAGAGTGCTTCACACATCTCAGCCGGCTTCCTCTTCCGCCTCTGCCTCCTCTTCCTCCCCAGCTGTCCTTGGGACAGCAAGGCCCCCAGCCCGGGGCAAAGACCTAGCCTCCTCTCCAGCACTTGGAAAGGGAGTTGTATGCACGCCTCCTAACCCTAGGAGGACAGAGACCCTGAGGTGGAAAGACACCCTCCCCGCCCCCTTGCTGCTTCTCTGGGCACAGCTAGTCCAGGGGCCGGCTGAGGGCCCAGTTCTCCTTGCTCCTGCTAGAGCGCCTGGGTCGCGTGGCTCAGGGAGCTGGCCACGTGGGCATCTCCCCCACTGCTCCTCAGGGAACGGGAGGCATTACCCTGTAGGACCCACTCTTACCCATGAGAGACACTCGGGAAAAGCTCCCGCGGAAGCCGGGGCTCTGCAGCTTAACCGCTTCGGGGTGAAGCTTGCGTCGGCCCTTCCTTCCTTCGGAGAGCCTTGGGGAGAGGAGGAAAGCTCCAGGACAACAGGCTTTGCAGCATCTCAACAGAGTCCAGAGGAAACGAGGGCGCCGTCTTCCTGGAAGAAGGCGGCCCGAGGCGAGGCCTGCGGTCGGCCGCAGGGAGGCTTGTGGAGCAGGAGTGCCCTTTCTCCACGGAAGCTATCCAACCAGCTGTCTGCGCCCCAGCCGGGGGACTCCTCTTCCTCTCTCTCCTCCTGCTGCGGCGCTTCTATCCTGGTATACCCTGAATGCCGAGCTTCCTTTTCTGCTCGGGAACCTCTCAGGCTTGCCACAAGTTACTCATTTCCTTGGTTGTTCTGAACTTTAAATAAGGTAATGTATGTTACCTTATGCATTTTTCCTTGTTAAAAATAGACAATACTGATTATTCAGACTACGTTACTGATGAAAATAATAACAGATGGCAGTTACGGAGCATTTATGGCACGCTTACATACACGGCGTATTGAATGTGCTAAAGGAACTGGAGAAAATATTTTATGCTGAAGGGATTTGAGGAAACAGCAGAAGCAGGAAGGTCACTGTCACCCTCCCCCTGCCCCGCTTCCCTGAAGCTGATCACAAGGCTCTCATGTGAGAGGTGCCTTCTCTGTACCCAGAGGAAATGTGTATCCTTGAGTCTGAAGACTCAGGAATACAGAGAAGAGCCTCAACACAGAGGCCTGGCCACATTTTCCTGTTTGTTACTGTGAGATCACACTTTTTTATCTTATCATAGTTCTCCATGACTATTCACTCTTCATAAAACCTACTGCTAAAAAAACCCCTGAGGTTTAGTTGTTTCCATGGGCCTTCATTTCCTTTTGAAGGTGCTCCTGTCATGTAAAACTTACATTAAATAAATACGTATGTTCTTCTCTTGTTAGTCTGTCTTTTTGCTGTAAGGGTCTCAGCAATGAGCCTAGCTAATCAACTCCCAGTTCCTCCCAGATAGAAATACTTCTAAAGCCCATTTTCTGAAGCTCCTTGAGGGTCAAACCTGCTGGAGACTGAGGGCCCTTCCTGGAACCTTCCAGCCCAGGAGATCACCGCTGGTGAGAGGATTGTCGCAGTCTCCCTGGGAGGGTGCACGGCCACTGGAAAGTATCACTGCTGTGACTTCAATACAACCGGTTTTCATCACGTCTGCTCTTTGTGCAGTGTTGCAGGCAAAACACAAGAGCTAACACGAACGTGAGTAACATACACGCACTCATCACCTGTGCCTGACATGCAAAGTGCCACATGTGAGGCACAGCTGATGAGTGTGCATATGTTCACTTCTTTGGTGCTTACCTCAGGCTGAGGCCGCATCACCACCTGCATCTTCCATATGACAAAACAGACACACAAAGATGCTAATTAACCTGCCCGGAGTCACTCAGCCAGCAAAGGAGGATTTGAAAGCAGGAATTTGAAGTGAAGGCATCCTGGCTCCAGAAGACAATCTCAGAACTACTGCGTTTCTACTGCTCCTAACAAAACCACCCTCACAAAACTTATGACAGTGAGAAAAAGCTGACATAGGAAAACCATGGCTGTGAAAGAAATCTGACTTAACTGACTGCATCTTGCTTCTAACCTCCAAGCTGCCCTTGTCCATTGCCGAGCATAGGCCAGGCTAATTATGGGAGGAATTTAGTTTCAAGTCTAAGTGTGAAAAAAGATGATAGCCCCTTCCCGAGACAAACCTCTTCCTTTCTTGGGGATCAGACATCCTTAGCAAAGCTAACAAATTAGGCTCAGGACACCAGCCAGAAGCCACAAGAGAACTAAGCTCTCCAGTTGTGCCTGTAGATGACATCACTAGTGTCAAACCTAAGACTGGTGTTCAAGGTATTTTTCAGACCCTGCCTTGTGATGGACTAGCTGGCATACGCAGACCAGTAAACTGGCTCATCTGGTCCTGTGGCCTCCACCCAGGGATGGACTCAGTACAAGTAAACAAGCTCTGACTCTATCATTTCATCCCCAACCCAACCAATCAGCTTTCCCCATTCCCTAGCTCCTTGCCTGCAAAACTATCCAAAA